CTTTGGGTCGAAGAGACAGCCTGAGTTAATCCAAAGCTCATCACTCTAGACACCTAAGTAGAGGGCCGTAATGCAGTAGTGTGTTGGTCTTTCGCCTGAACTTCTTTTTTTTTTTTTTTTTCTTTTTTTTTTTGGGACAAAAGCTCCAGTCTATTCATGGGGAGGAGCATGTGCTGGGAAACGGGCCCAGCGGTACCATATCGAGTTACACAAGTCATTTGCGAAACTGGGGCCATTACCTGGCTTGGGCTGAGAATTAATCTGAAAGCATTAAAGAGAATTAAAAAGAGGTTGAAAAACTATGAATGACTACTGACCTCTTTTCAAATGCTCAGAACTCCTAGACTCCCAAACGGAACTCTCTAAAGCTATCCAACACTGTCTTATTCCCTGCCAAGCTCTCCCAGGCCTCACACTCCCACACGGCTAGGTTACAGAGCAACACGACTCGCCCCGGCTCCGGCCAGCGTCGTCCTAACAGCAACCCTTGGTTGTCCCTTGGAATGCCCACCCCAAAGCATCCCCAGATCTCTCTACCAGGCCCCGTGCTCCTGCAGTCAGCAGGTTATAAGGCAGCACCCCAGCACCGGCCAACATCGTTCTGGCATCGAACAACCGCAGATCCATGAATGTACCAGTATCAAACAGCCTAAAGCGAGTTGCTAGAAGTCCCCAAAATCCTAAAGCATTCTCAGAACCACCTGTAAACAATATATCCTGGAGGTACCGGGGCCATCACCCGGCTTCGGCTTTTTGTTTTGTAAACAAGAACACTGAAATTCCCCAAAGCTTGGATCAAAGAAGCGTTCGGAAGGAAAGGGCCTTTCAGCAGCCCAACCGTTACCTGCCTCACCCTTAAATCCCGGTGCCCAATCTCTACCAGGCCTCATGCCCCCAACTGCTAGGTTACAGAGTGGCACAACCCACCCCAGAAAACCCCCCACATGCTAGGCCACAGGGCAAAACAACCTGCCCCGGCTCCGGCCCGCATCGACTAGGCACCGGCTAACCAAAAGACACTAGAGTACCTTCCACCCTCAACTCTACCAGGTCTCATGCCCTCGTACAGCTCGAGTTACAGGGCAGGACAATCAAGCCCCAGCACTGACCAGCGTCGTTCTGGCCTCGTGGGGCAGATGGAGGCAGATTTGAGGTTTGTTCTACTCTGGGGCTGGGGTTGAAGAGTTGGTCGCCTTCTTACCGTAGCGGAGGCAGATAGGGACAAGGGGTGCAAGCTCCATCATAGGAGTCTGTGGTAGTGGGGGGGTGGTTTAATGTAATGGCATTCCGCTAGTTTACCCTTCTTCTATCCTCCCTCTGGCGAACTATGTGGTGGAGGAGGTCGGCTCGTTGCGAGGGGCAGAGGAGTAGAACGAGGCGTTGGTAGAGAAGCCTGACAAGGAAGCAGCAACAACCGAAAAAGCCGTCCTGTCTAGCCCGACGGTCACTTTAAGTGGCATAGTTGACCATAAGATCTTGGCTTCAGTTTCCTCTCAGTTTTTTCAAAAATGATCTAAACAGGTGAGGGTTTCATCGGCTCTGCCTCTTTTCGTTTCAATAATATGGGCAATTCTTCATCGACTGTGCTACAAAAGTCTGGGCTCTGGGGCTGTATTTGGAGCATTCTCTTCAGCATGGAGGTAGCCCCTCTCTCCGAGGACTGCATAAGGAGGGAGATGTGGATTTTTGAGAGAGAGGGGGTGGACACGTGGGTTTGCTTTCATCTGGGGCTGGGACTGATCTTTTGGGGCAAAGATCCGGCCCCGCGGGGGCAGATGGAGGCAGAGGTATTGGGATTTCGTGGGAGGGGTAGAGGGTGACTCCAAAGGGCATGAAGAACAGGCTCTTTGAGTGGATGGTTGGTTTGGAACTACTGGTATCATTGGGAGAGGAGAGAGCCTTATCCTGCGGCAGCAGCATATTGGAGGGAAGTGCTGCATCTGAGGGGGTAAGGGCAGTAATTGTGGGTTGCGCTACTCTGGGGCTGGGGTTGATTGGGGGGTTGACCTTCGGCGGAGGCAGGTAGTCGGCAAGGGGATTGTCTGTTCGGGGTGACAGGCGGGGAGTCTTGGTATCTGCAGGCTGATGAGATCCCTCATTGTCTTCAAGTTGAAAAACTACAAGAAGTCTTGGTTCCAAAAAATAAATTGTTCTGCAATCTTTGGATGCCTAATTAGTCTCATGAGCTGACAGGCTCTAGACTTCTCTCAGGAATTTCCTTTTTCATTCAATGGGACACTGGGCCCGGTTCCCAGTCTGTACAAATGAATATCATGATGTCTTCAAGGGACGCTGGACCCGGTTTCCAGCAGGTGTTGCTCCCCCCACCAATAGACGGAGCGTGTCTTTCCCGCCCCCCCAAAAAAAAAACAAAAAAAAAAAACAAAGAAGGCAAAAAGCAGTCAAGCCACCAATCAGCACCATAGCTGTAGATCTCATTATTCGTCTCCATCATGCCCTGGTTGCAGATATCTGCAGATATCCCCCCCCCCAACAAACTTCAAGAACCCTACTCTGTGAGGTCTCAGTTACATGTAAGTGCAGTGGTAAGTTGGCAACATAATTTATGAATTTTATATCTATCTCAGAAGAATACGTACATCCGTGCCATTGATGTAGCAGATCGTCTGTCCTTGGCAGTGGTTCAACATTCCTTCACGGTGCTAACATTCCTTTTTGGGAACAAATAAAAAAGGAAGGATGTTGGAAGCAGAACCTTTACCATGTGGCCATCAATTCACACTTATCTATGCCATTTACATCCCAACCTCCATTCACTGGGCAATCCCCCCCTACGAGACGGCGGATGTGCTTTTCCATCACCTAGGAGAGGATTGGGCATTTGCTTGCCTGGGATGCAGTGTGTGCAAGCCAGCATGGAAGCCTTACTTGAACTGCTAGTAGTACAAGGTGCCAGCCTCGTGGAGATCAAATTTCACCTACTCGGAAATTTTTGCGCTTCAGGCCTACCCGACCACAAAAGTGGGCTGTTGGTGGTTCGGACAAGCTTCTTAATATAAAAAAAAAAAAAAAAAAAAAAAAAAAAAAAAAAAACCGCCAGTGTTATTGCTGCTGGTAAGAGCAGACACCACCAACACCTGGGGAGAGGCTCCATCTGTTAGTGGTGGTTCGGATAAGCATGATGTGTGCACCACTGATAGGCCCAAAATACTCCAAAACAATTGGGCGTCAGGTTTGCCGGACGACAATGGCTAGCATTGCCAGCCGGAAAAGGACAAGTCCATCGCTGGCAGTTTGGAAAGCTCGACGCCGCCGACGCGTAGTCCAGTGTTCAAGATCTGAGTGTGTAATGGTGGCTCAAGGGCACATCTCCCACCCCCATGGGCTTAACTACCCCCACACCCTTTCCACAGTCCTGCGATACAGAGCATAGCTATCAGAATGCCCCACCCTTTCCACACTGCCTGCTATACAGAGCAGCGCCATCAGAACGCCCCTTCAATTGCATTCGTGGGACTGTCGCTTTTTCAATTTTGAACTGTCACAAAAATTCAAAGTTTGGATATATTTTGTTTCGATCACAACTTTACACGTGGCAACTTGGCAAGCAAGCCATGAAGAAAATGAAGGCGCAATTGCGCACCAAGCTAAACTCGGACTACGGAAAATTATTATAATCAGAGATCATGACCAGACACCCCCACACACAGACTACGAAATGTTGTACAAATCAGAGTCCGCGCCTCAACAACCGTACCAAGTCAGTCCAGTTTTTTTTTTTTTTTTTTTTTTTTTCGGTGACACAATCTTGGACCGAACACGGCTCAGTACCATGATCCAAAACAGCCATGCAGTGCGTTTCGTCGCAAGGACCAGCGGCGTTCACGATATGTCAGTGGCCTCACCTGCGATGTTTCAACATGTTACATCACAATTAGGTTTTGCAGCTACTCTGTGAAAACACAGCCGCCGTTAACACACCACCATTACTTTTTAGGAACTCAGCATACGGGAACAGAAAGGCAGGCGGCGTCGCAGGCAGCGTCGCCAGCGGCAAGTCTGTCAAGCTTCTATTTCAACAACATAGACGTTAACACACACCGTAGCTGTAAACTGGTCTGGGATGTCGAAATGAAAAGCCTAGCAAAATGGACCTAACACACCTGAAGTGCAGTGAAGACTCAAAGTTATGTTCTGTGTGTTCAGCCGCCGTAACAAGTGCTCTCCGAAGTCACGCTGGGCGAGATGGTTACCTATCACAAAGCTCTATTTGTGGCGTGCGGCGTGCTTGACACATCCACTGCAACTGAAATTGGTCTTTTATTTCTGGCATTATATTTCAAGTATAACTTCTTCCTCAGCCTTTGAGAACCGGTAAGGACAACCTATCGGTACTTAGGTTGGGCAAGAAAAGAATACAGAGTTCGCTTCAGAATGCTCTACCACTTTCGGACGGAAATACAGACTCAAGTTTGAATCCAGATACTATCAGATGAAAAGAATAAAAATAAAGCGTTCTAAAATCGCCTGGGGCTGGTCAGTTCGATGATGATCTCTGAATGCCGTTGCCCCTTCTTTTTCCATTAAAACACGATAATAATATCAGCTCTCATGCAGCTGCATAAAACAAAAGCAAAGATCCACGAGACGTTTAAGATCCTCTGCTTCTTTCGACAGTAGCCGCTTAAATTGCTTGTCCTGGGTGCTGATGGAAATGCATGACGTCATCCTTGTGTTAGCCATGCAGCTTGCTTATGTGGTTTACCTGGCTATGCGCTTATCACAATCAAGGGTTTGGGGAGAGAGAGAGAGAGAGAGAGAGAGAGAGAGAGAGAGAGAGAGAGAGAGAGAGAGAGAGAGAGAGAGAGAGAGAGAGAGAGAGAGAGAGAGCAGCGAAAAAAGTTGAGATGATCAGCAAACACTCAAAAAAAAAAGACAAAAAGGCAGGGATTTAACTTCATCAAATCAATAAATAATAAACATTGTGCCTTCCTTTTTGCCACACCACATTTCACGCTGCATAAATGACAAATAATGTCAAATATAATGCCTTCGAGTTAACAGCACAGTATATGACAACAGAGAAAGCGAGAGGGAGGCAGCAGAGAGCAGCGATCGATAAGCTGGGATAATCAGCGGAAAGTTGGAAACTCAAAGCAAAAAATCATAAAAATGCAAAAAAAGGCAGGATCTAACTTCATCCAAGTCCATAAACAATAAATATGATGCATTGAATTTAGACACAGCACATCTCATGCTGTTTACAGTGACTGGTTCACACCACAGTATGTGACAAAAAAAAAAAAAAAAAAAAAAAAAAGACATCGAAAGACTGCTTCAGAGCTACAGAAACGAACACACGTTCGTAACCCTTACTTAAAGACTTAGGAGTGATAACAACAGTGGGAATGTTATAGTATGCTCTTATGAATGAACACATAATCATATTATAATGAATGACAAGGACCTTCTTTAACAGCTGCTACCCTGCAAACACCTCAGAGAGTGCAGGTGGTGAAAGAGACGGGCGGAAATCCAGACGGATTCATACGCCTTCTCTGCATTAAGATAAACTGATGACGCAGTTGTGTATCATCTCTCCTCTTCCATACCAATGGCGTTTGCACATTCATGACGAAACACATCTCAGTGTTTCCACATTCATAAAGAAACACATATGGGTGTTTCCACATTCATGAAGAAACATATCTGAGACAAGCCCATTAGGACAACTTCCCCCCCTCTTTTAAGCTTTACGTCAAAAACACACCATCATACATGGGTAGGGGTAAATCCATACGGATTCCCAAACTATCGCTCATCGTGCTTTCATCTGTCCGGGGATCGCATTCATCTCTCTTCTCTTGGGCTTCTTGTGTATATAGCACGGAAGGGTGGCCTTTTTTTAACAAACCCCCCCAATCGATCAACGCCTCTGAAGGCCACCACGGTAGAAAGGCGAGATGAGAGCAGAGCCATCGGCATTGAGACCAATGCCTTTTTCAGTGCACAGCTGTTTACTGCGAAGCGCCTGACGAGCCGTGTCAGAGATTCACAGACGTGACGTTTGCAAGTGACATGGCATTGGAATCATCCTCACAGTCCCTGGCAGGCACCCATCACTCCATGTATTTTATTTTATTTGTCCATCACTCAAGGCCATCCCCTGGCTGTGAAGATGTCCACAATGTGAGTAGCGTATGGCACAAAGTTAAGAAGAAGAAGAAGATGCAAACGACGGAAGAGCACGCGATTTCTCATGCGTTTTCTGGCAAAGGAAGGAGCGGTTTCAACCACGAGTCAATGGCACCCTGTGGCTGTGAAGATTGCCTAGAAGACGGAAGACTGTGACATGGAGGTAGAAGAGACAAAAGAGAGAGGGCAGAAGTGACATGGAGGTAGAAGAGACAAAAGAGAGAGGGCAGAAATACATATTTTGCTGGCAAGTAGGAAGGGCGCACTTTTAAAAGTGTCTTTCCGTCGTCGACTTGGCGGCAGTTAACTCATCGCTGTCGGAAATTCGCCAAGAAAAGTGGCACTAACACTATTATATAACCCCCCATTCTGTGCCAACAAGCTCGGGACAGAATGGGACAAGCATGGGACAAACTCCCTCCCTCCAGATAACTCTCAGTGGAGTGTTCCGGCTCTCCTCTTTTTCAAGATGAAAGCTTCTTGATGCCTGGGAAAGATGGGCGAATCTCCACTAAGCGCTCCCCATAACCAACAGGCTCTGCGTAAACAAAAAAATACAGAAACACAAAAGACATGGATTGCAATGAGCACTCCACAGCCATCATCAGACACATGCCCATCCTTTTCTGTTTGGCTTATGTGTGTGTGCATGCGCGCATGTGTTATAGTCTGTCACGAGAACAACCCCCCTTTCCCACCCAGACAAAGATATAAAATTGAAATAACCTTACCTCACAATTTTCTATCGAGTTTATAATACCTTTATAATACTTTATATGATATTTATGACATGTGTGTTGTCATGACTCATGATCACTATACGCAACTCCACACAAAAAAAAAAGAACCGCTTCACCAGCCTCTGACCAACTCTTTCTTGGGACAAGAATGGGACAAGGTACATCAGACCCCAACAGAATGCCCAGGATGCATTTGACTGATGGATAAGCACTCGCCAACCGAGAGTAAGTGATACCCCTGATCTTTTGCGTGGGTCCATCAAATGGCACGGTGAAGACACCGTGCCAGGTGTCACAGCCCACGTAGCTCCTACATGCGAGGAACACAAAGGCACACCAACCGCAATTGCAGAGGCATTGCCATTCCAGCCCCTGTCTACAAATTGGACACCACATGTCAGGGTGTTGTACATGAGTGCAGTATTGATTGTCATCGTACATATGAAAACACAAACTCGCATGTGCTATTCCTTCGTAATCCTTACCGCACAAGTGCTTGTGTGTGTGTGTGTGTGTGTGTGTGTGTGTGTGTGTGTGTGTGTGTGTGTGTGTGTGTGTGTTTCAAGAAACCCCCAACTCTCTCCCTCTCTCTCTCATTCCATCCATAAATCATCACAAATTGTCCATAAAACAAAAAGTTATAATAGGCAATGTAGTAGAAGATGCAAGGTTGGCCGTGTGTGTGTGTGTGTGTGTGTGTGTGTGTGTGTGTGTGTGTGTGAGAGAGGGAGAGAGAGAGAGAGAGAGAGAGAGAGAGAGAGAGAGAGAGAG